CTGCGTCTCCCCGTTTAGGTGCAGAGCTCTCATCCATCGATGCTCTCTGGAAGAACTCTTGCAGAGACATTACTCGGGAGATTGTCTACGTCCTGGGGCTCGTGAGAGACGGAGCTGCGAGCTAGGAAAATGACGTAGCTATTTTCTTGCAGCAGGGGATCTTCGAGGGTACAGGGACTAGGGGGGTGAGAGTCGTCGCCAACATACCAGGCATCTGTTGTGTGCACAGCTGCACGGTAATGACCACTAGTGGGCTCCATTCCTAAGTGAATGATCACTGCCTCAACTGTGTAGGTACAGAAGGAAACTCGGGATGTGTGATCCAGGAAGACAGGGATCAGGACTTGCTGTGGGATTGTGATGCGAGTGTGATCCTTAGCTTCACCTGCGAATCTCGGCAAGGCTAAGCACACCTGCTGTGCAGCTTCTATGAGAGCACATGAGCACTCCTGAGACGACCATGCCACTAGCATGTCCTGTAGGTTGGTCTTGATCGCCGTGGCAAGATGAATGGGAGAGCCCCCTTCTTCATCGACTATCACACCTTCCGGTACTGAGGCTCTTGTTTCCCACTGTCCAACTCTTGATGCAGAGAGATTCCGAAACACTTGCTGCAGGAACTCAGCAGAATCGTGTTGGCCTCCGTCAAAGAGCCAGCCCATGGTGAGCTCCGTGAAGGCTCTGTGTTCAGGGGTTATTCTCGCAAGCTGACTGATCCGGGATGCCTCTTGGAAAGTCGCCTCTGAAGGATCTGATAGCCAGTGGAGACACTGCAGACCTGAGTTGGCATAGCTGTGGTTGCGAGTATTGGCTAACAGGAGAAAGCCTTCCAGTCTGAACACGGGGTGAGGAATTCCTGGCGTTGAATCTGAAGGCTTCTTTGTGACTGTCTTCGCCGATGCCGTGGACTTTGCTCGGGTATATTCGCGGGGCTGCTTGCTGAGCTGCTGGCGCGCTACCTCCTGCAGTACGTGCACCTGCAGTAATGGAACGCACTGCTGAGCATGTCTACCCGGGGCATCCACGCGAAGTTTGCAGTATCGACAGCTATCTCCTTTGTGGAAGAAGACCTTGAATTGATTGAGTCTTGGTTGGAGAGTTTTCTCCAGCTTGGCCATCACCTCAGGATGCTGCTTGTTTAAATGCTGTTTGGCTCCTTTCTGGCCTACGAGGACCTGACCACAGAGTGCGCAGTGTTCCATCAGGTAATCATGGAACGCCGGATTTCGAGCGGCGCCTTCTGGATTGTCCTGGGCATCAGACTGTAGACTTTCTACGAGTGAGATCCGATTCTGTGCTTCTAAGGGTAGCTCTTCCTGCTGTCTAGGCAAAAGCTCTACCCTGGGGCAGGTAGATGCTTCGACATGTTTGCGCAGATAAAACACTGTTCGGAATGTTGCTCGACAGGCGATGCAAGTTGCTGACCCTGGCATTGAATGCAAAATAGGGTCAAATTTGGGTCCTTTCAGGCACTGCTGAGAATCTGGGTGAGCCTTCTGCAGGTGGCGACGGAGTGCTCCGGTGCCGGAGAGACATGCTCCACATTCACCGCAGGTCAGAAGCCTATCCTCCACATGGTGCGAGCAGAAGTCCGTGGAGAGGCCTTCCAAAGCCTGGCTAACTGCCTCAGCACGCAACTTATAGTGTGGGAGAAGCTGGGGGTCGGAGTTTTGCTGTCTCTTTATAAACTGGGTCATTCTCTTTTGCAGCTGCTCCTTCACGTGGGGAATCCGTAATCTCCGGAGTAACTCCTGGTTTGATTCCTTCGTTTCCTGGGAGTAACTCCGCAGGACGAATCTGAGTTGGTACATCATGTGTGAATGGAGCTTTTGCAATCCCTGCTGTGTCATCCCCACCACGTGGAGTGCATACAGAGCAGAGGCCCCCGCAGTTATTGTCCAAATCGACAGGCGACGTCTGTCTGATAAGACTCGGTGGTTCCGAACTGCATGGGCTACTTCTGACATTGCAAGCTTACTGGATGACAGCCGATGTTTGAGAGTCTTCATTTCATAGTCATGATAAGAAAGAATGACCCCCAAGTATGGGACCTGATAGCGCAGCGATATCAGCCTGCCCGAAGGGAGTTCAACATACTTCTCTCCCTCGACCTGGCGAAAGAGTTTCTTCCTAATGGTCGAGGCTGAGCCCCCTTGCAGCTGTAGCAGAATTGCTGACTTGGACGGATTGACCTTGAACCCAAGCTCTACCAGCTGATCCAGAAGCAGGTCGCAGTACCCTAGTGCTGTCATGAGGGCGGCCTCAGAGTCGAAATGCGACTGGATCAAGCTATCATCTGCGTACATTGTGAGGAGCTTCACTAGTTCTGCTGGGCTGATTTTCCCAGAGAGCTTCCTATAGAGAAGCCCTGATGCAAAGGCAAATAAAGATTCCCCTGCGTGTGGCTATCTCAAAGCTCTGATCGCTGGCTGTCATCTTGTACAAGGCTTTGATGTGGAGATGGCCTACCACCTCTATCAGAAGAGGATCTGCTTGTTCGGCTTCCAGGGCCTCTCTTAATCGCAGCCTGTTTACAGTGTCAAAAGCTTTGCTCATGTCCACGCTCATGGTGAGACTGCCTCTGAGCTTGAGCCCCTGTTGTCCCTTACCTGCAGCCCTAGTGGTGAGGGCCTGTCTGAACCTGGCCTGGTCCACATGTGTGAGGGCCTTGCAGATAGCCTCCTCTGTGCCCCTGCCTGGGACAAAGCCGAACTGAGAGACGCCGGTCATTGCTAGCTGGAGGGTAGACTTGAGTCTCTTCCTCACGAGTCCGGCTAGGACCTTACCCTCAGGCGCTATCACCCCGATCGGACGGAGTGAGGTTGGTTTGTCTGGCTTCTTGGGAGGCTTTGGGAGCCAGGAGATCTGTGACGAGGTGACACTGTCCGAGAGCCTTCCTGCAGTGACTTCCCTATTAAGGGTGTCCGAGATTAGCCGGATTGCTTGGGGACCTAGGGAGCGCCAGGCTACCACGGGAGGACTCTCTTTAGGAACCGCCTTGCCAAGCTTTATTGTGCCGAGCTGTTCTTGCACTTCGTGCTCTGTGATGTGCAGGCTGCCTTGTATCCCTGAAAGCGGGAAGTCATCCCCTGCTCCAAACAGGTCTAGGGAATATTCCTCTAATTGTCTTCTTTCTTCCTTGGAAGTAAGGAAGCGACCCTCAGAATCACGAAGCTGAACTCTTTCCTGGGCCTCCCCGACCTGAAGCGCTTGATTACCTTGTAAAGGGAATGACTCCCGTCTGCTTGGACTTAAGCTCTGCCTGCTGGAGTTGTTCATCTATTTCCTGCCGCCGCCGCTCCTGCTTGTGACGCTTTGCTACCCTCGCCTGTGCACTTTGCTGGGAGAACGAGCACCAGCATCGGAACACCATACGGACCTGCAGCTCGGGCAAGAACTCTGCTAAGACCTTGACTGCTAGTGGGAGTGAGCGCAACACAGAGCGCTCTTCCCAGATGCTGAGATCTGATCTTTGTGCTGCTTCCTTTCTCTTGGGAAAGTGAGTCGCTAGAGCTGAGTTCATTGCTTGATGGAGACTCTGCCAGGTTTGGGGATGATCCTGAAGGAGGGAGTCTACCTCCCTGGCAAATGCCTGTATTTTCGGGGAACGATGTCTGTAGCAGTCCTCCATTTCCTGCTGGTCATAGGGTTTTGAGGCTTGGGCGGAGTATCTCCTGCTGTGCCTCAGTTTACCAAGAACGGGGAAATGCCTACTACCATCCCTCCAGGATGCAACTGGGAAGGTCCTTAGTGGCCGGCAAAACCTGGCGGGGCCTTGGGACTGTGCAATCCTGACAAACGAGAAGTCAATCTGTGAAACAGAGTTGCCTTGTTCGTGGGTGGCTGGTCTATGCACTCCCCAAGTGTTGGTTGCGACTAGCTGGTGCTCCGACAGTAGGGTCTGGAGATCCTTAGATCCGCGATGCCCGAGTCTGCAAGCCTGGATCGTGCATGGCCCTACGTGTTTGTTGTCGGTTTTGAGCGAGGAGTTAAAATCTCCTAGCACAAGGAGAGTGTTGCGATTGGGAACAGCTCGGATGGACTTACTTAGGGAGTGAAGGGTCTGCTTCCGGGTTTCCTTATTCTGAGCGACTGTCTCCTTGGAGCGCCAAACGTATTGATAGCAGCTGAAGACGTCCAGTGAGATGCCGTTGCTCGGCACCCGAACCTGGAGAACTCTTCCTGGAACAACCTCGTTGTAGCGAAGATCCTGTGACTTGCACAACGTGGAGTGCACCATTATGAGGACCCCGGCTCCCTTCTCCCCTGTAGAGCCAGAGCTAATCACATGCCAGCCTGACTTGCTGAATTGCCACGAGCCCCTCCAGTGTGTTTCCTGAATTGCTACCAGCTTCACATCCTGAAATGCGACACTTTGCAGTACGGAGAGTAACTCTTCCCAAACTGCTGTTGTGAGAGATCCTGCATTCCAGGATAGATAGCTGAGATTCTTATCTTCTGTAAATTTCGAAGGCCGAGTCCTTCTGCCGGGATTGGTGGGCTTTACATGTGCCGGAGCAACTCCAAGCTCTGTTGACGACATCGTCTTTCCCTTGTAGACCGCACTACCTTCAAGCAGAGCTTTACGTGCTGCCCTTTGATAAGAGCGTTTACCCTTCCCTTTAGGAACGGGCTGATGCTTGGTCGAACCACTAGGCTGTTTCGCAACACTCATGTTGAGTACGGCTCCTGTCGGCTTCGCAATACCGACAACCCTCACCTCTGGGAGATGTTAGAGAGCTGTAGATCTAATACTCCCTCCCGGACTTGGGACCGGGACTGCTCAGGCGCTGACAAATGCCATGGCAAGAAAGGAAAAAGGCAACTGTACTAGCCTGACCTTTCCTGAGCCGAGAGGCTTACGACAGCAATAACAGCAACAGCAACAGCAGTAGCAACAGCTATCAGCTATCGTTTCCTGCCTGCCTGCCCGCCTGCCTGCTGATGGCAGGCAAACGTGCGAAACCGCGCTTGTGTGTCTCGCATTGCAGTCCGGTCACAGGCTTGTCGCGAGGATGGACACCGCCAGAAGCTTCAAGAAAGACCTGCAGTGCCTCGGACCCCAGAAATTCAGATTCTGAGTGCTCTCCGAAGTGACCGCACACCTCGGATCTCCTCGTGGCTTCTTGCATCGTTGTGGCTTCGGCAGCAGAAACTTGCGAATGGCTTCGTGACATCTGTGAACTCTGTTCAGCCCGAACCTGACGTGAGAAGGACAGGTGAGTCGTTGCAGACCGGACCTAGCAATCTCACAACGAGCATGTGCAGGAGGAGCCCGTATCATGCTGCAGTCAACGGGGTAACTGATGCTGCACTTGGCTCGCTTTGCGCACTCTGACGTGCTCTTTCGGACAGGCCCCGCGGACCTGGACGTTGCGCTTGCACACGCCGGCGAAAGAGCCGAGTCCGATGGCCATAGCTGGCTTGATCCAGCAGTGACCTGTGGAAACGGCTGAGATGTTCACGGTTTCTTCGGGACATGCAGGTGCCATGTCAAAGCACTGGTCCAACGTACTGACACTGTTTTGTAAAGATCTCAGGGAGCTTGTTCGACCCACCCGACCCCCTCTCCACATCCAGGATACGTGGCGATTACAACCTGCCAAGCTTCCTTTCTGCCAAACCGTCTCGGGGCACCGGCCTCTCGGCTCATCTCGAGGAGGCGACTCTAGCCATACCCCGCTCCTTCCAAAAACGACAGGAGGCAAAGGGCTTTCCAAATGACATTTCTGTTTCCTGCGCTGCCTGATGTAGCTAAATGACTGTGAAGTTGTTGCGGAGTGGGGTGACGGGTGACATGATAACTGCTAGCCGATCTTGACCACTAGTCCTTGGTAGTGCCAAGCTAGTGCATCCACTCGCTTAAACGTGGCCGATACCACAGACTGAGCGGTTTAGCTTCACTGACTTTCGGCAGGTCGCGGCAGGTGTAGACCACGCAGCGCATGCCGTTGCTGGGTGCAGGGGTTTGTCAGCTCCATCAGCCGCCGCAAATCGTGCGTCCACGATCTCGAGCACAAACTCACAGCAAGATGCAGCTTGATTCCAAGCTTCCACTTGCGAGCTCGGGAAGATCAACAACAGTGTCATGTCTGGAGTTCATTCTCAGGTCGCCCTAGCGGACTGGTTCTTGCACTTGCAAAGAAACGGGCTGAGGCCGGAGGCTATTTCTTGCGCCAGTCCCTCCACTCCTGCCCATCTGGTGGGGTCGGCCTGGTGCAAGCGCACAGCCGAACGACGCGCTCGTGCTGGGACATGCTCGAGGATGAAGAAGCTTGCATCGAAAGGCTTGCCATTTATCGGCAGCTGCAAGAAGCCACGGCTAACGGAGGCATCTAGTGCACCACTGGCCCCACCCGAAGTTGCAACATCCGTACGGCTAGCAAAACCAAGTGCCTGTCTTTGCCCTCGTAGTCGTTCGAGGCAACCTCGCCCCAGTTCGTTGACCTTTCAGTCGCACAGCATCGGCAAACACGCCAAGTTTGGCGCTTCGCGATGACCGACTGCAAGACACTGCCAGATCAGAAAGCGTGAGCACAGCGACTTCTCTTACATGCCACTGCGCTTGTGCTGCCCTGGGAATCTCCCAAGCATCCGAGGCCGGTGCAAGACGGTTCCTGCGAGTTGCAAGCGGAAGTCTTGGACATGCAGGATTTTTCAGCCAATTCCAAGTCATCCCTAGCCGATAAACCCTTCGCTACGTGGCATCCTCCAGAGGTCTGGAAGGATTTGTTCATCGCCCGCCGCGTATCTTCGTCAGCTCGCTCGTAGATCTGCTGGAAGAGCTTGTTCAAAGCCTTTGCGGTGATTCCAGGCAAGCAGCCGGCGAGGCTGGACTTGACACCCCTGCAAATCCTGGAAGAGGAATGTACGATGGAAGCTCGTAAGATGCCAAAGTCTGCAAACACCCGTGATTGGAGGGCAGCAGTTGCCGACCTGGTCGCCCTCGGGCTTCTCGTTCTTGAGCTCTTCCTGGCAGAAAATCGAGTGCAATCATCGGGCAGTGTCCCTAACTGTAGCGTGATGTAGATGGGCGATATCCTGCTGATTGCCAGTGTTCACTCAATGCCAATATAACAATGCAATGCTTCAGTCTCGACCTCACGTGGTGAACGGCAGAGTTAAACACATCAGTCCCCGATAACTCACAAACAAGTTCACCGAATGCTTTTTTGGCATGCCAGCAACCTTCACATGCTTGCAGATCGCTGCCGCATGTGCAGACACGTCGATGCATGATGAGGAACCCCGTCTAACCGACCCCATGCTTGAAACCCTGCGGGCCGTGCTTCCATCAAGTTACAGATTCGCTGGCCCACCACCTTCTATCAATGTCACATGCTCCTTCTCATGCACATTCCAAAACCTGCTGACAATGGATTATGTTGTTGCTGGCCACTCAGCACCCGTCAGCGCAACCAGGTCCTGAAGGCATTGCTTGATTGCCAGGTCTGCCAGGTTACCATTGTCCGAACAGGTCAAAGAGAAGCACATGCTGTTGAGAGCCTTCAAAGTCTCCAGCTTGGAAGACAAAAAGCCCCGGCCCTGGACGTCCTGCCAGAGTTTGGCACGTTTGCCGTTGTCCTCGATCGGACAGGTAAACGCAAGCACGCTTGGTCTTCTGCAGAATGGGGCGAGCTTGCTCTCTTTTTCCTTGACAACGGCTTGCCTCCAACTCTTTAGGCGCCCAGCCGAGATTTCGCCCCCTCCGAGGCTCTGCCCGGAGCTCGCTTGGTACGAATCCTGGCGGCGAAGCGAACATGACAAGCATAGAAAACCAAGAACGCGAGAACAGACTCTCTCTGAGACTCTCTCTACTTCGACGAGTCCAACACCTGCCTCTGTGAGCATGCGGAATGACTTCCTCAGAGGCCACAGAGTCTCGTCACCACAGAATTTATTGAACCACAAGAACCAACGACTGCAAGAGCATGTCAAATACCATGCGAGGTGCAAGCTAACTCTGTGGTGCTGCCCTGGGGCGTGGCGGTGCGCACAGAACTTCCCCCAGACCACCAGCCAGCACGAAGCATCCTGCAGTGAACCGGGAGACGGATGCAAGGAGAATTGATGATGACGATCCCGCTGCAAGATGCAAGCTGTGACTGAACGTGCCCACTCTGTCGTGGTTCCGTGTGTGATCTCAGTACCAAAATGCGAGCACAGCTCCAATGAACCTGGTTGTGGAAAGAACCTCCACATTGCAAGCTGTGTGTTGAGCAACATCTAGGGCTTGGTTGCACAGTCTTTGTGTCCACCGTGCCGGGGTCCATGGTGTGGAAGCACAGCCTCGCACGATCCAGCGCAGAGAGGCTATGACAACGGCTTTCGCCTGACAAGCTCGGGATATACATCCGCTCATCATGAGAGGAGAGTCCGAGGTTGGGTTCTGGATGGGGTTCTCGAATCGCAACTATGACATGATGAGGCATGGGGTGCTTCTCCTCAACAATCACGCAATCTGACCGAAACAATCACGCAATCTGACCGAGTCGTGTTGACTTGCAAAGCCCAATGTCCAATTCCGCTCTGGGCCTCGGGCTCAGACAATGCACTCCATTGGTTTCCATATATATATATATATATATATATATATGTGTGTGTGTGTGTGTGTGTGTGTATATGTATACATATACATATATACATATGTAATTGATCACCTCCGTTAAACAGATATATATATATATATCCATCCCTAGCCAGACTGCGTGCGCACGTCACGCCTACAGCCATCGCCTGCCCGAACTTCGTAGCACAATAGAATCACATTTTCAGCTGCATATCGTGCGTTTCGGGCTAAAGCTTCTGGCCTCGGCGCATCCCCATAGCGACGGTCCATTTCGACGATCATCATGGCATCACACAGCTTGCCTTGAGACAGGGCGGGGTAAGGGCATGGTGCTGCAAGAGTGTGAACGAACCACTTCCATGAGGTTGAACGATAAGGCAGCATGAGTCCAGTGAATCTGTCTTGCAAGGAAGGCTGATAAGTTCCAAGTGGCTGAGTGAATAGGCCCTGTGACCGGACCACCCAGACCTCGCGCTACTACAATGGCGAAACCCGTCCTAGCAGAATGCAGGTTAGTGTCGTAGCCAAGATCGGAAACCCTGCGAGTCTCCGACGACCTGTGGGACACTGTCCGCAGGATGTGGCACCAGGGCTCGAGCGAAGGAAAAAGAAAAACGAACAAGTTCAAAGTCGTGCTGATAATGAAATCCCATGTTTGCGAAGAACCACAGACTCCCGGCTAGACGCCTGAGGCAAGTTGCTGCAGCTGCAGGTCGTTCAAGGCATCACCGCTGCCCTTCGACACCGAAGATGTAACCTTAGAAGCGACCACGCAAAACTCGGATCAATTCTGATTATTGGGCTCTGCGCACTTCGCTCGGCGAATTCCGGAAACCTGCAGACCATGCGTTGCACGTTTGCTAGCAATCCCTGCATGCTGAATGTCGCACGACAGGCCGGGCGCATCGAAGTTTTAGGTACGTTGAGGTCTACTTCAGGCACAGGCAGGATGGCTTAATGCCGCTACTTCGGGTGTCGTGTTGCGCGGGGTCACCGTCCCTTCACGAGAACAGACCCCAGACGAAGCAGCGGTGTAAGAACACAGGGCTACTTGAACCCCTTTCACTGCGCAGCCGAGCTGCAATAATTCGTCCTGCGCCTGACGACTTGACCGTCCTGACCACGCACACAATAACACACAGCAACAGCCGTGCGGGGCCTGCTTCCGCACAGCCGGCTCCCACATATGCCCAAGAAGCTGCATTACATGCATTTCGACGTGTTAGCCAAACCTCATGGACTCGGGAAGCCTCAGCAGCACTTCGCCTGGGCCCACTGGCTTTGCCCCCCGAGAACTGAAGCTACATTTTCGTCATGCTGCTTCAAAAGAAGCGACGTCAGCAGAAAGGGCGCCATGACCTGAGACTCGCAGTTGAAGGGCGCCGCAGGCTGGAGTGCGCATAAAAAAGAATGCGCACAAAAATCATGCATGTCACTGAGTGTCTTAACGCTTCACATGCGCTCATGTGCTTGTGAGGTGTGTTGCCATCAAAAGTTTTCGGCTACAGATCGCTAGCCTGAACGAGTCCCACCTGTGGACGAAACGCGTAGCTGTTAGTGCGATCTTGGCCAAAACGCTCTTGCGTGTGGCTTGAGTGTGCCGTTCAACAGTAGAGTGTTCGCAACTACTAGCACATTCGCCATTATGCGTCCGTTTGCGCCGTCATTCACCTCCGCTGCGGAAATGCGGAGCCGAAGTCGCGTTGATGAGGAGGAGCCACCACCAGTTCTCCCGCCACCTGGCCTAACTCTTCCTACCAGTCAACAGCTATTGATGCAAATCCTGGAAGCACAGCAGTCGCACAATTCTTTGTTGGAGAGACAGCTCACCATGTTGCAAATGGAGAGTAAGCCTGCGTACTCAAGTCCATCAGACCTGCTGGAGTCCTTCGATCCGACTCTACAGGTTGTGCTCAAAGAATGGGCACGCGAGTACCAGAATACATTACAACAACACGCAACGCAGTCCAGCCTTCAGAGCAAGTACTTGGATATTGCCACGTCAGGTGAACTCCATAAACAGTTCCAGGACGAAAGTCGCCGAAGTTGGCAATGGCCAACAGCTTTCAAAGTTTGTGCCAAAGAGCTAACGTCATGCACTGAAGTCTTGGAACCTGGAGCTCGAGACATGTTCAAGGAGCGGACTGCTGAGCAAAGCCCCTTCGACATCACAGCAGCTTTTCAGGAAATGCGACACCGCCACGCTAAGGAATGTCAAGCGTTCATTTTTGCATATCAACGGCAATGTGCAGCTTTCTTCGAAGAGAAAGTTTGTCCCAGAGCACAGAGCATACTTCTCGAAGATAAAGTTGTATCGTGGCTGCAGGTGCACAAAGATATCTTGACACCGGAGACAAAAGCGAGGATTCAGAGACAAACGAAGCTTTTCGCAGAGCTTACTTTCAGGACTGAAGTGCCGAAGACACTGGCCAGACAGGAGAAAGAGAAAGAGCGGAAGTCCAAGCAACGTGATGAGCTCATCAAAGCAGAGGCTGAATTTCGGATGATGGATGTTAACAAGCTCTTGGCGATGGCAGTGTTGGAGTTCTCGACTCTGTCAACCCAGAGCGGAGCACGCAATAGTGCACAGCGTGTGGTTCCGAATACTGGTGCTTTGGCCTTTTTTGTGAAACAGTATCCTGATCTTGCCAAGAAGTACCATATATCCATTGGCAAAACTGATGCAAAGTCGCTGGCACGGAAGACCCGTTCAACCCGACTCGCGAGGCCGATCAGTGTCTCGCAGTGCCAGTCAACATTCACAAAGCTTTCAATCTGCTAAGTCGCGAAACAAGTCCACCAGCAGAGGCAGCAAGTCTTCACGCAGATCAAAGGCATCCAGCAATCACAGCCGGAAGCCATCAAAAGACCGAAGACCATCACAGCCACCTCATCGAAGCAAGTCTCCTCATAAAGGGCGTGGACGCGGCAAAGGCAGAGGTCGTGGTCACCAGCGGAAGGTGCGCATGCAGACTCCGGCAGCTTCTGGGAGATCTTGACTAGGGTCTCCAAGGAACTCCCGGAGAAGAGCTCGTAGAAGGAGTTTTTGGAATGATGACTGGAGCATTGATCTGGATGCGTTTATTAGGCATCGCTTGAAGCAGACGTCCATTGTACAGATTGAGCGTCGATACTGCACACCAGTTCACATTCTCACTCCACCAGAATTTGAGATCCCTGCATATGTTCGTGCTTATTTGTCCAAAGGAGGGAAATTCGTTTCAGACCGACGTTCCAGTACTGCCCCTATGATTCTTCAAAGCGCGGCAGCCTTGGAAAGGTCATTGCATCTTGCAGCGCATTTTGATCACCATGAAGTCAGACAGTGTGAATTCAAACGAGCCCGGGTGAAGACAATGTGGGAACCACCTCGGCATCCGGACATTTCACGGTTCGGACGTTTGCTACATGAAGAGCTCTGCAAATATGAACCTGTGCCACATGTTCCGAACGAAGACTTTGTTGACCGAGCCGCGCGGAAATGGCTAGCTACACACCGGCATGAAATATGCATTGTGGATGCCGACAAGAATTTGGGAGATGCAGTCGTCCCGCGATGGTGGGTCAAGACTGAATGCCTCAGACTGCTACGTGAAGCTGCACATCCTGTTTCCGCCAGTCATTATAAACATGCTGCCAGAGATTTGAAGTTGGTGCTTGAAAGTTTTCTTCAACAGCATGCTGCAAAGGGGACGATTCCTGACAAGTGTGTCCAGTTCATCCTCGAAGGTTTCCAGTCGCATGCCGTCGGTTCTTTCAGATTGCGAATCAAGTTACACAAAACACCACTTACAGGCAGACCCATTATGAATGTCACAGGAGCGTGGACGGCACCACTATCCATCTTTCTGGTGGAAGCTTTGACCCCAGTCATGAAGGCACAGCCTCACGTCATCCAGTCAAGTGCAGAAATCCTTGACCAGCTTGAGGGCATGCTGGTCCCTCCAGGATATGCACTTTTCACTTTCGACGTGCGGAATCTGTACCCCAGCATTGACCAGGCTCATTTCCTTCAGGTCATTGCGACTAAGGTTCGTGAGTTCTGGCGTGGTCGCCGAGCGTACGCTGACTGCATCATAAAGCTGATTGAGTTTCTGCTGATGTTCCAGTTCGTGGAGTACGAATCGGAGCTGTGGCAGATCACACAGGGCCTACCGACAGGCCTTCAAACATCAGTTATCTTTGCAAATCTTTACATGTCTGTTTGTGATGTGTTCGTGATCTCCAAATACTCGACACTGCTATTCTGGAGACGGTTCATCGACGATGCTTTCGCGATTCTGCCTCTGACTGCAGCGGCGATGTTCCATGAGCATTTAAATTCCTGGCACCCTGGCATACAATGGGAAATATCTGGCTCAGGAGCTCATGTGACTTTTCTTGATATTGATATGAAGATGAGCAGCAATGGAGCTTTGGTTTTCGAAACCCATCGGAAATCACAGAACGCTTACCTGTATCTCCCTAGGATATCGTGTCATCCACCGAGCGTTTTCAATGCTTTGATTGTTGGCGAGACACAGCGGCTCTTCAAAACCAATCCCAACAACCCATGCGGGCTTGATCGGCACATACAGTTCTTTCTGACAAGGCTGATGAGACGTGGTTATTCTCGTCAGGCAGCCGAGGAGTTGACCAAAGTCGCAGTGCCACAGGCACAATAATACTTTTCCACGCGCAGCGATGAGATCCAAGTTCTTCTTTCGTACAGTATTTGGATCCTCTTTGAACCGTAGTGTGATCAAACATGCTTTAAAGAAGCATTGGCCAGCTGTACAGGCTGTTTTCAGTAAACCTGTCGACGTTATGATGTCATTCCAGGTGCAATCCAACAATTTCCGGAGGAACTTTCACCTCAATTGGCATCCATGACCAGGGATGTTACGTCTTTCCCAACTTTGCGCATCAGAGCATGGGCGGGTGGGTCGGGCTCTGATTTTTATGCGCACAAAAATCATGCATGTCACTGAGTGTCTTAACGCTTCACATGCGCTCATGTGCTTGTGAGGTGTGTTGCCATCAAAAGTTTTCGGCTACAGATCGCTAGCCTGACCGAGTCCCACCTGTGGACGAAACGCGTAGCTGTTAGTGCGATCTTGGCCAAAACGCTCTTGCGTGTGGCTTGAGTGTGCCGTTCAACAGTAGATAGATTCGCAACGGTTCTCCAGCCAGGATGCATTAACTGCCAAGGAATACTCATTCCCCTCGGCCGTCTCGACCCGCCTTCCTGTGTAGTCGCCGTCGAATGTGCCTGCGTTGTTCAGCAGGCCGTGGATTGTTGGAAACCTTAGCTGCCATGCAGTCACAAGTGCGGGATGATATCAATGTGCTCGTCTGCCCAGTTGTCAGCCACGGGGGCTTATCGGCGACTTCCTCACCTAACCGCCGGACTTCCGACATCAGGCTGAGATCAGCCTCGTCGCGACGACTGTGATGCGTGCACAGTTGCGAAGGCTGCGTGTGTGGGGACCTGGACACCGTGCAGCGTGGCTTTGGGCGCCAGGCGCTGCAGTTCGGCGATCGTTGCCTCCGGATGCTGTTGCGGGAGGCTGTCAGGACAGTCGCAAGCTGAGAGGAACCCCTTACAGTGCCCCTAACGCGCCCTGCGTTCAGGGCACTTTTGGAGGTTTTCAAGGTTTTCGGAGGGATGGGGGGGGTGGGGGGGGGAGGTAATCACGTTCATGTAACAATGCAGCGTCATGCCTGCGAGACACTTGGCTCCGTAGTGCACAGGCCCTGGCTCGGTAGGCCATGGATCTGCGTTGGATTAGTTTGCTTCTTTTTGCTTTGCTCCTGATTCGGAAAAGCGGGCAACTATTCTACGATGATCTGGGCGGCTTCCGAAACGCTGCGTCCCGACTTCATTCCCGCAGAGCATCCATGTGCCAAGCATGATAGCGTCCAGATCAGACTCTACACAGTGCCGCAGAGCATCCATGTGCCAAGCATGATAACGTCCACATCAGACTCTACACAGTCCAGGTGCCAAGCATGATAACATCCAGATCAGACTCCATCCAGTGCCGCAGACACAACAGATAGATAGGACATGGCAGCATGTGAAAGCCAGCATCCCAAAACAATCTTCACCAAAAAAAAGAAAGGAACACAAAAACCCATCAACCAGAAGGGTTTGTGGTCCTACCTTTACCAGTTCCAGTGGCGACGAGTCCAGAAGAATCCGTATGCTGCTTTGGCCGGCCTCTGCCAGAAGTGTAAAGCCTGACAAGTTTCCTTTGGGGTTTGCGCGCAAAACGAAACCGGACCTGGGTTTTAGCACTGTAAACCTCTAACAATACAGTCTGTTTCAGGGTTTTGGGCCCTCCTACTGCATGCGTTCTGCTGGGAATACTGCGTTTTCCCAGGGTTTTGGCAATGTGCAAGAACAACCAATGTGCGAAAACACAGGGCGCACTACAGGCGCCGTTACCTTCTTTCAGGAATCAGAGCAGCACCTCGATCTTCCGAGGATTGCGCCCATGGATGATAACCTGGAACGCGTGGTCACGGCACCGCCAACAGTGAGCCGACGCTCAGGGCCCAGCTGTGGAGCCCAGCTTCGCCAGCTGCTCTGCTGTGAACTTGCCTATGCCATCCGTGGCCCCGGTGACCATGAAGATACGCTCCTCAACAAGATGCGATTTGACCACACGGTCGGCTCAAGATACGAACGCCGTCCTGCACTGGTGGCATTCCACCAGCCATGGTCAGCCTCTGGACGGGACGACAGGCGCTCGACTGAGAAAGGGCAATTGTGGTTCCTGGTTCCGGGCGTCGTCGAGGAGCGCCAGCTTGCGGTGAGACTGGCGGCAGCAGCAGCAGCGAAGATCACCTTCTGCAGCGGCGCTATAAACTCACCTAGTTCCGTGGTGCGCATCTTCCGCACCAAGCCTTCGACCACCTCTTGGGCGGCATGCGCAAAGCGACCCTTGGCCGGATCCAGCTATCGTCGCTTCAAGAAGACAAGACTGCATGCTCAAGACTCCAAGACCATTTAAGGCCGAGTTTAGTGGTTTGTTTGAACCGTCCAAAACAATGACGGTTCAAGATTAAGATTAGCTTCTACGGCTGGGAGGCTGCAAGTGTTGTCTTCCGAGAGACATGAAGCTGCTGGCACAGCTGCGGAGGAGCACGAAGATGGATCACTGCAAAAGCAGGCAAAAGCCGCCTGCACTTCTTTTCCGCTCAACGCCCCACGCCCCATCGCTTCAGGATCTTCACTTGACAGTCCCGGACAGCCGCATCTACATTCGTCGCTTGGCGAAATGGAGCCTGATGGAGCCTGTAGACTATGTACACTCCTCGCTGTGCAGATGGACATGACGGCGGCTGCCCACAGGGCAGTCGACATAACGGTCTGTCCAGACAGCAATGGCTATGCGCAGTCTCTCCAGGCGGACAAGGTCGGCTCGTCTCGCACTTGGCTCAGTGAACCCAGCTCCCTCGCCGGACGCAGGGTTCCTAATTCCGCTACAGTGCGTGGGCGACCCGCTATACTAAAAGTCTTATCGTGTGCTCTTTCAGCTTCCTTGGTCCTCATGAATGTCCAGCCGTACCAAACGACATCTTTATCTTTACTATACCTAACGTGCTAGGCAGTCAATGCATTCAGAGCAAAGCTTGCTCGGTCCCAACATGAGGCAGAAGATCGTCTCATTTCGAGATGACAACGGAGCTGAACGGCCAGTTGGCTCATTGCTCACGGCGCCGTCCATTTGGCCCAACAGGACGAGCAGTAGACTTGGCCGTGGAAAACACCCGTGCCCAGCCACCCTGACAGGCAAAGCACAGCTTCATGTCCAAAAGCATGGCACAGATGCGATATAGGAGGCAAATAGGCGTGACGTAGCCTTTGGGCTTGACGAGGGCAAGGATCCCAGCCGCAAGTCTGTGCATCTACCACAGCTTCTACTTCTGTCTTCCACCATGTCTCGCCTTCTCCTGCAGGTACTGCATCTCTGCAGCCCGTGCAGAGAACGTCGATGTCGTTGCGACGCTTGTTGGAGTGAAATCCCTCGCGGCACAATATGGTGTTGGTAAGTTTCCAGCCACCGCGCCGTTGCCCGTACACAGCAATGGTCTGAGCCCACGGCGTGGGGTCGATCCCGCGAGGAGGATGCATAGCCCTCCGTATCCAAGCCGTAGACCCTTACTTCCGCAGGCTCGTGTTCGTAGCCAAACAGCTCAAAGGCCACATGCGGCCTTTTTCCCGTTGCAAACCAAGTAGCTGCACTCGCTGCTCTTCTGTGCTGCTGCTGCCGAAAGGCTGCATTCGCCCCACCTCGACACAGCAAGACTGCATAAAGGGAGGTCCAGCCACCCAAGCGACTTAAGTTGGTGTGGGGCAAGGCTTGGGCCTGAGGACAAAGATTGCACAAGACTACATGGGAGTAATGACATGCAAGTCTCGGCCTGCATAGACTGCCGATCACCCACATCGCCAAGAAGCGGCGATGCAGGCAAATCCAAAGAAGAGCAACACCAAACCAGTCCCAGCCGCATCCGCAGCAATAGCGCCCGGCCAGCCGGGCATCATTGAAGCCATCTCACCCCAGACCCCGCCTGCTCGCGAGCAGGCACGTGCTGTGGCAAAATAGTGCAACCCGGAGTCTAGGCGTGGTGCTGGAGGATTTCATGTTCCACGTCTTCCGGTCTCAAGGCGAATAAAACCCCTTCGAAGCTGCTTGATCCAGCACAGCGACACGGTATCATTTTGATACAAGGTGGCACTGCTTTGACAAGACGAGTCACCAGGCATTCTTGTTCGCATTGGATCAGGCGGGCGTGAGGGCATAGTGCGGAAATGCACTGCCGCCATTTGGCCAGGATGAAACATAGGCCTGAGTCCGATATCGGAACCCCCGAACCAACCGCGGCTGGCCGGCTGCTGTGACACGAGTGTGGCCCTTTTTGCCACTGGACTGAAGTCTAGCCAGTTTAAGACCCTCAAAGTGGAACTTGTACTACAACACAAGCCAAGCCAAGGATCTGTGCGTACTGACTGCTCATCGACCTTTGCAGCGCAGCAATTTGACTTCATACACGCACATTCAAACTCAACGAAACAGAAACTGTATGAGCTGCGGCCAACATCCTGTTGCTCAACTTCTCCAAGCGGCATCACTTGTGGGCTCGGCGTCTCAAAGAGCATTGAAGGGCTCCTCTGCTGCCGAGGAGTGCTTTCAGAAAATGGTGGAGAATCCACAGAAAGAATTCATCCGTCTGATTCCCCAACGCTCGGATTTCGTTGCGCGGACGTTCTGTCCAAGGCAGTAGCTTGCAAGTCTCGCAGTTCAAGGACAACCTCCGTACAAGTAGTATCTGCAACCGACGCTCATCGTTTACACAACTTGCCAAAGAAAGATTGACAAAAGAGCACAGGCATCAAGCACGATGCAGCAGCCAATGTAGCAAGATGCGTGCCCTGGACTCTGTCAGTTTACTGGCGGCCAACCCCTTCCAGCCCCAGTCGCAAACCGGGCAACCCTTTGTATCAGCCACGTGGCAAGTAAGAGCCCCAAGCAATTCGTGCTCCCAGGATCTCTGCCACTGGTGCCATCCACACGCTGAAGACCTCGGACCGTTGGAGCTGTGCTCATTCACATCTCATCTCATTCGTTTCATATCCGCTCAGGAGGCTCTTGATTCAAGGAACAGGCGCACATCTCTCTCTCTCTCTCTCTCTTTCTCCGGCCCTTGCGTGCCTCCAAGTTCAGCGCCAGATTCTCCGCGAAGGGAAAAGCGAAAGTGATGTAGTGACCTGAAGCCGGGGCAAGCAAGCAAGGTGCGGCGATTAACTTCTTGTGCCCCCCACCCAGATTGAAAGAACACGGCTGCGCCGCCGTGCCTTGGAGGAGCCGCTGGAGGAAGTCCAAGGCGTCGAGGCCCCCAGCGCAGCCACTCAGCGCCACGTAGCACGTCAGCTCCTTCCGACTGAGGCCCAGTTCAAACCCAAAGGGGGCTGCCGAAATCCAGACTAAAGAAGGCGCTTGGAGCTTCGCTTTGGCTCCGTGTCTTTACGTCATGGTCTCCCGGCTAAGGCGGCTGATTCAGCTGGTGCCGGACGGAGGGCTCGCAGCTCGGCACCCAATCGCTACAGGCAGTCTGAAACCGGCCAAAGACGACAACTTCCAACTAAGTCGGTCAGGATGCCGATGCTTGGAGTGAGCACCGTGCATTGTTCCCCACCACGAAGATGATAAGGCCTCCAAGGGGTGACAGCTACAAATGCGAGGCCACAGGAAACACATCACATGCTACCTGCCCGTTGCTTTTCAGGTCTTCTTCCCATTCCCGATGGCACCAGTGCAATACATAGATCAGCTCAGCTCACGACCAATGCCACAGGCCCCCCAGTGTCCAGTCAGCAAGCCTAGGATCACCATGGTCCCAAACCGCGGCTGACGGCGACTGTGGAAATCTGCAGAAGAGTCGCAGTGCTTTCAGGGACAAGTCAGGGCTCAATGCAAATCAGCAGCGGCAGAAGAACACAGAAAGTTGCCCCATCAGTGCGAGAGAGAAGTTTTCCCGCCTTGCCGGCAAGTCCCCGGCCCCCCCCCCCCAGCAGGGCAAGTCCGAGACTGTCGTTGAGTCGAAACACTTTAAACGCTTGGGTTTTAGCAAGGCCGGGTCTTCTCGCCGCACCCCAGACCCCATGCCATGCCATGAGGCCCCGAGGCCTCTCTTCGAGTGTCGCCACGCTCCTGAGAGGCATGCAACTCAGCGCTGATTCAAACACGATGCTCGCAGGTTCTCCAACATACTCCACCTGATCGCCGTCGCTGTGGGTTAAAGTCAGTAAGAAGAGAGACGAGCGGGCTTTCTGCAAAGGCCTCTGGCACTCCTCACCTTAAGCTCTGCTAGATCTAATTAGATCTACCAGTTTCAGCCCAACAGCCTTAATTTGCACTCAGGCTCGTCGCATAATAGTGCGGCACCAGCGCATCCCAAATCACCTTCAGCCAGCGGCCGAAGCTGACGATGGTGTGACAATATGTGACAAGTAGGAAAATGCAGCACCACCGGCGTTGTCCCTTTTTGACAGAGCCGAGCCGACGGCACTTCCGTATTCGCCACTGAAGAGTCAGGCGCTATGTCTTCTTGTTCTGATGGCTCACAATGACGCCTTTGGTGGCCTAATAGACAGTCTCGTCTGAACATTGGCACTTCCGAAAACCTGCGGTCGAGGTACCCTTCCGCTGCTCACATCACACGAACTGCCGCCGCCGCCAGCACAGCGCGCTGTGCCTTGCACCACGTACCTGGATGCGAGAGCAAGCCAGTGGAGCAGCACAGGTCTTCAGGAAAAGTACCTGGCAGGTGCCATGCATGAATTCTTTTGATCTGGCCTCGACAGACCGAGCAGTTTGAACATGTTTGAAATCAGCTGTCTTTGTCGGCGATTGCATGGTTCGGATAAACCCGTCACATCCTTTGTCTGAGCAGACTTGGCCAAAAATCTCCCTCGATTACTGGCAACCGGCTCCCTGAAGCCTCCCATATTCACACATGATTGGACTTGCCGTGGGGCCTCCTTTGTGGGGCTCCTGAATCAAGAGCGTTTTTTAGCACTCGCATTCAGCAAGCGAGGGTTTGGGGTGAACCTAGTTTCTGTAGGCAGACAGAGCGCTTTGACTCGGAGGTACACTAGCGGCGGCAAACATATGCAAACGTTACAGGTCTTCACGATGTGTCAGAATTGTCCAAACATGCGTGACGTGCAGCGGCTCCCGATTATTGACAAGCATCTGTGCCCATTCCGCCAGCGACTGGAGCAGAGACAGCGGCTGTGAGCAGACGCGCGGCATTGCTGTTGGATCAGTGCATCTTGAGTCTCGCCCTTGTTTGCTGCATGACATTTTTGCTGTCGACTCGTTGCTTTTTCGAGGTGTCAATATTCGTTTCTGCAGCAGCTGGCCATGAGATCCTCATGAGTCTAAGCGGAGGTCTGTCCAGGCAGGATACACAGGTCGGCAAGCAGCGAAACTGCAATGGGTTTCCCTCAAAAACGGCATGGCACCTCGATCTCACGATCAATCTGACTCCAATCACGCTTCTGCTTCGAGGAGGTGGGATATGCTGGCCTCACATAGCTGCATCGACTCTGCCGAACCGATGCTGTGGCACATTTGGCTTTCGCCGGGCAGTCGCACTTTGTCCACCACTCCTTCTATGCACTGTGCCGAAGATCACATAACGTAATGATGCTGAGGCTGCAACAGGTCGGGTGGGACCTCTACCACCGCCACCTCCTTCCTTGCCGCTGCAGCACCAATGCATGAACACTCAATCAAGGTACCTTGAATATTGAATCAAGAAGTGTAAGGCCTTTAAGACGTGTAGAGCTTTGCTCTGAATCCTCTAACTCTTAGAAACCGCTCAACCCCGCGCATCTGACCTCAGCATCTGGAAGGGCGTGCAGTCGCTCTTTTGGCCAAACCGCGACAACAAATAAACCATAGCAAATCCCAGTTGAGAACCAAACACCTCGCACGAATTCAGGGTCAAGCAGATGCTAACCGCTGCTAACCCAGTCTTCCACCATTCGTCAGGCAGTTCCGCTGCGAATGTCCCTTGCTGCTGGTTTTGGAATCTGCGGGACAGCCCCAGGCCCTTGCTGCCGATTTATGAAGCTGTGAGTTCCAGCAAACATGACACCTGCCCTTGCTTCTGCTGCCTCTCCAAATCCTTCCAGTGAAGGCTGACGTTCTGCTTCTCAAGCGTCACCTGAGGAGGCGAAAGAAAACACTGGCAGCAGTTTCTCCGGACAAGCTTCAGCAGGTCTGGAACGAGAGCCGTGCCTCAACTTTCACCTTTGAAACCTGCAGGGGTTGCAAGGGGCCCGTCAACATCGAGCGAGGGTCCAACAAGATGAAGGCTAAAATCGGACCAGAACTCCAGACCGAGATCTTCCGCGGAGACAAGAGCAAGTTGCACTTCATGTATAAAACTGGGAATTGGTATATAGATCTCCACAAGGAGGCCGAGGCCGATGCGGAACACCTCATGCTGCAATTTCTAATCTACCCAGATGCGAGCCTCGATCTTGCAGCCAGCAGGGTTCACCGAGTCAAAAAGGTCCTGAGTCTTTTGAAACCAGCCGACGACAGAACTTGCGTCTCATCCGATGCCAGGCACGGGTTACCACTTGCTGTCCGCAGAATCGCATGCGCCGATTCTCAACCTGTGGGCTCGACTAAGTTGAGCTGGTATTCCTCCTCCGCAGACCTCATCTCGGCTGATCGCACACACGGCAGGAGCAACTTCAGTTTGCACTATTTCGTTGTCAGAGTTGTGCTGTTGACAATTTTGTATATGCTTGAGATCATGTAGCCCGCCGAGTCTCATGCTCTTGCGACTAACTACTGACTTCGACGTCGCATGTCACGACAACTCGGAGATGCTCCAAGCACCCAACCTTGACGGCGAATATTCCTTGAATTGAATTGGACAGATTTTTCAGCGGGCATCTGAGAAGCGAGCCCCGGAAGTGGGAACACCACTGAGATCTCCTGATCGAAAGCACTCATTATGCTACCGCCAGGACTTGCGTGCATTTGTTCACAGACGACAGCGGCACAATCAGCAGCCATGCAATCCGATGCCTCCCCGAGAGGGCACATGATGAGTGGGAAGGTCGGGCAAATGACAACATTCAGTGGTGCTGCCTTCTCTTGGAAGTCCGCTCGGCAGGACTCCTGGCCCACAAGCTACTTGTAAGGATAGCTAAGGGCTAAAGCAAGCACAAGTGACATTGGTGGTTAGTGGAGCGCACATACATTCAAGAAAAGGCGAGGGCAACATCCTTGCTATGCCTGCTGGTGGAAATGAGGAGGTGTAAGGACCTAGCACGAGGCAGAGAAATTGGGCAGTCCTGATCCACGCCCTTGGCGAAGAGGGTTATGAACACATGCGTGTTGCTCTGGTACCTCATGCAAACGATCAGGCGAGAAGTAGCTTGGTGGCCACATCGGCACATATGCATGTGCTGCAACGAAACCTTCTGGAGTGTGTTCGCAACACTGACCGTAGCCGTAGCCGCCGCTACAAGCAAGCAGCCCGTTCTCGGACTGCAACTTCTGTGCGGGGATTCCTACCGATCTCTACGGTCAAAGATGCGGGATTCTGGTAGAGCTTCAATTGCTTCAGTCTCCAGACAAGGCTTCGGAATCTGACAGAAGCCGGGGCACCATTCTCGCTTGACGGGCTTCCTGCCTGCGAAGATCAGTTTCTTTCCCGAGCTCAGACGATGATTCCAGAGATGTGACAAGAAGCTGAGGAGTTGCATGGACTGGAAAATATCTACAGTACTGAAGGGCCCACGGCCCTTGCAGCCTTCTTTCCCAGGACCGAAAAGGTCTGAGCCCATCACCGGATATCGACAAGGAAGCCGGCGTGTCTTGCACCTGCAGGCCCTACCGCCACAGGCACCACTCAGGGTAGGGCCAGTTAGGGCATGGAATCTTGTCAGCTTGTCCGCCTCAGTCCGTGTGGAAGACGCAGCTGCTGGCCTCAACATGTGGGGCTTGGGTCATCTAAAGCCTGTAGCACTGACACAGAAAATCGCTTGCAATTGGCATCTCGATTGGCTGCTCTTGCTCGGCTGCGGGTGCAGCTGGCGACGCCTCAGCTTGAATCAGCATGCTTGCGACGGCTGCATAAGCTGCTCGTGGTGTCCACCCTCAGCATTGTCAGTACGGCAAGGGACCGGAAAAGCCCGCCTTGCTAAAAGTGGGAGGAATTTCTCTGCAATGCTACTTCCAGCCCCACGGTCGCTTGCCAGCTCGAGCAGGTCCAGAAGTCACGAAAGTGATGTAAACTCGAACACCTTTACCAAGTACAGCATGCAGTAAAATGAGTACCCTACATACTCATACAAGAACATGAGGGACGAACTGCTGTGAGACATCGTGCAGCATAGCGGCAGATGATGCGGCAGGTGTGGGCGCATCCTTTGCTGCCTTTGTCAGCCCAGCATGATTTGGGATCGGGGTAGGTGTAGGCCGTGCAAGCCTCTAATAGTGGGATTGATGAAGTCGAAAAACCCACGCGCTTCTTTTGCATGCCGCAATCAAGAGTTACCATGGAGTTTGACTTTTTCGTCGGTGAAGAAGTGGCCACCTCCGCACAGGTACGAGGTAGGTCTCAAGAGAGTAAGGGTCCGGTGTCACTTCTGCACGAGTCCAAAAGCTGCAGGGCCAGCAGCTGCTGCTCGGAGAACACACAGCCGTACCAGTAACTCAATAACAGGAGCTTCCTTGGTGGGTACATCTCTTGTAGCAGGATTGGCGAACATGCCGCAAGCAGCTTTGCCACGGACAGGCCATCCGAGGCCATGCATATCAGGGCATCCAAAAGCACCCATGACTCGGGGCCTGCACCCGACTTTGAAAAATTCTGCCACCACAGTCCTTTACAGTGGTATTGGACAGATCAGCCTCCAGGACAAACGTCTGTGGTGCAAAGGAGGCCTGCCTGAAAGCCAGATCTGACCCAGGTTGATTAAGTGGCTCACTTGCGGGTTGGTAGACTCAACCCACGACAAGGCTCTCTCGGTATTGCAGGTATTTGGAACCTAATGCTACATCGAGCCCGATCAGCCTGAGTCGATAACAACGGCTTCTGGAATTCGGGATCTGTGCAGTCTCCCAAAGATTCCAATCCGGTGCCTCGAGTAACTCGAGGCTTATTATGTGAGTGTCTTCTCCTGATACGACGCCGCGTGATCTTCCGAACAACTCTGGAATCTTTGATCCTGCAGCCAATTCAGCTGCAGATTGCTGCACTACTGAACGGTGCCCTGGCCAGGACTTAGTGTGGATGCCGCGCGACAAGTGTGACTGCATGACCTTCGTTTGCAGTTGCCCCCCTTCACTTCCCGGGCCTGCGGCCGTCTGATCACCCTTGTCGCGGGGCTCCCAAGCTCAGGGCCGGTCTGCAAGACGAGCGGGAAGCCACGAGCTAAAACGGGGGAGAACTTCACGCGGTAGCGCAGCTTGCAGCCAGAGCAGCTAGATGCAAATCTCCTTGGCGGCAGAGCTTCGGAGGGGCGCAAACCGAACTCTGGCACAAAGCCAGCCTCAGTAAGCCGAAGCATCAGGAATCGCGGAAACAACAAACCGCAACAGGGCATCCTTCAAACACTGCCAACCTCCGCAAGCCGGGGGAGCCCTGTCAACCTCAAAACCCACAATTCGACAGACACTACACTCGAACCCGTGGTGAGAGCACAGCTCTTGGGCGGGTACGGAGCTCTACGGGTGCTAGATACATGGTGCCTTTTGCAGCACTGTAGACTGTAGCCCGTCTAGTGAAAATGTAGTGCATATAAACCATATATCATATAGATAAAAGATATAACATGTTCATAGACTCAGACTGGAATGCAGCCAAACATTTGCAGAGCATTGCACTGCATTCCGTAAATGATAACATGCCCAGTGGGATCGTGAGCATCGAGACAAAGCGGAATTCTGGACTCGTCTCTGCACAACCGCGCCTCCTGTCGTCTTCAGCCACGATCGGGTGCCACTTTGCCACCGAGAGAACGGCCAATGCACATTGTAAGACATTCTCTGAAACCGGAGGGGAAGCCGAAAACAGCAACTTTGCTTTGTATTTCCCCAGCCTTTATCCAACCTTCCCGAACCTTTCCTTCCCTGTTTCAAGCGAGTTCACTTCGGGCACGAGTTTCTCTGCTCGCGAATGCTCGAGACTTTCTGCCTGGCCTGCTTGCCCCAAAAGCCACATGACGCTAAATGCTTTCCATACGATCTGCTGCGTCCCAGCCACCTTTTGCAATCTGGCCATGTATAAATGATTGCGACAAGTGTCTTCCGAGTTGTCGACGGGAGCATACAGCGAAGAGTGATGCCTTGCACGGAATTCAGAAACAAGAGTCACATGGAGCTGCTATCGGAGATATCGGAGCTACCTTGCGCAAAGGGCTGCCAGTCTAATCCCAAAGGTTTTACAGCAAGCTCTTTGAGCCCAACTTGATGGCCCCTGGGGACTGGGGAACTGCAGAAAAACATACAAAGCGCTGCAGCAGCAAGATAGTAATGACTTGCACGAGGTGCTCGAGAGTGAAACTGTTGTCGGGTTCGACGTCGGCGCCAACCTTCAAGGTTGGCTTCGGCTTGGTGCAGGTCAGCCGCAGCCCGGAAGTCTTGGCATGCCGAGGCCCTCCCTCCGAGTGCTCGGGCCCGACCTCCGGAATGTCCACTTCTGGACAGAAAGGGCTCGGCAGCTTGCGTTCGTACAGCGCTGCAAAGTTGAACTTCTTTAGCCTTCGCAGCCGAAGGCCATCACAGCGCTCAAGGGCATGTGGCCACAGCCCCAGCCTGAAGACGTCGTGCTGCTGCACGGCTCGAGACCCGCCCCTGCATCCGAGTCTGTCAGGACATCGCCGAAGCAAGTCCTGCAACTGCTTCGTTCTTGACATGCCACTGCGGTCTAGCCACGCTGACGGTCTTCACACAACACCCTTCCTGGGCCCTGAGCTATGTGGAAAAGTTTGGTTGTTTCAGTTTATTTCAGGTCAAGGCGGCGTCCTGGACGAAGCCTTTGGATGGGCCTTGCCAGCATTCGGCGTGTCAACACAACACAGATACCGCATGCCGTCTGCATGCATGGCGTTTGCATGAGCACTGCAGCCAAGGGGCTCGGGAAGTGGAAGGGAAAGCAAATGCCATCCTGCCGCTGGTTTCGGCGTTCACACTCGGACAATCCAGGCGAGGCAAATGGTTCGGAGTCTGACAATGCGAAAACTTTAGGGTACCATGTTCCAGCCGATGCTCACGCAGATCAACCAAGGAGGTAGGCTACAAGAACGCATTGACTTAAGCGGCAAAGAGCATTCATTCGACTCCTGCATAGCCTCCTCCTGGCTCCGCCGGATGGCCAAAAGCCGTGCCTGCCAAGGTGCTTATAAGCACTCCAACCACCTGCGACCCATAGTTGTAAGATACACTCCGAGCAGTATCATCGCAAGGCTCTCCAGTCCGAAGCTTCTCAGGCTGACTCAAGGCATTCGAGATTACATTGAGACGATCCCACGTGGCGCAGGTCATGGTTGAACGTTGAACAAGCTCGACCCCAAAACAAGTGGGTTGTACTAAATTGAGAGGCGGTCGATATTTATTCAGGAGTTGTAGGTGTCGGGCCTACCGTGCAGCCACTACACCCTTGCATTAAAGCTGGGTTCGTCGCAAAATGCCCGACTTTAGGATATCAAGATCACGACAGGCACCCTACTTCCTCTAAGCAGATTCAAGCAGATCAACTTGCTACAAAGAACTCTGTCTCCCAAGTTCCGAAAAGCAGATCCTCCCTGGAGCCCCGGCCATGGGATCTGCGATGCCCTCGTCGTGGAAGGGCGTTTGCCCAGCCAGAAGTTCCTAGGAGTCATTTAAATGCGCGAGGCAGGTGAGCGCTTCATTCTGCGAAGTCGCCGTTAACCCCGAGAGGAGGATTCCTAGCTGGCATTCACTTCTGCACCTTTTCCTGCAAGCTTCTTCCCTCGCTCCGCCGTCCGAGGCCACAAGGGCACTGAGCATTTCTCGCTCTCACTGCTCTCGCTCTCGTCGCGGTGTTCGAGCCTCAAGCGCTTGAGGCGGAGTAAATGCGCAGCCGCCCACGTCCGAGCCAAGCGCATGGAGAGAGGAGGCGTAATTCGCGAGCCGGCGCCCATGTATGTCAGCTCGCCCACCCGTGCACCCCAAGTTTCATCCCCCAGCAACCAATCCACACGCAGCTCGTCCAGGCCAGCAGTCCGACAGATGCGCTCGGACGAGTCGCGGATGAAGGGCCAGGAGGATCGCAACACTTCCTGCAATCTGCTCAACAGCTCCGTCGGAGGATGACGTCCATAACAGCGGTCAAGAGTCTTGCAGCGGACCTGACCACGTGCAATCAAATCCTGGAACTCCCAGATTTGGATAACCCCGCTGCTGGCTACCCAAAGCGGCGCCGGGTGAGTGTTGAGGGTGGCGCCTACGACGCAGCCGAAGAGAACCTGGACCTTCAGCTCCATGGGGGCATCGCGACCGCGAGGCCCAGCATCCTCCATTTTCGGCACTAAGATGGAATACATGGGCTGCAGAATTGCCCCATGCGGCACCTGGGAAAGCTGCCAGCATTCCTTCTTCCAGGACCTGTCTTCGGCGTGGAGGGCCTCTTCGAGGCTTTGCAGCAGCTGGGGACGTTCCATATTTTGCGGTTGCGGCCACAGGCTGACAAAGCAAGAGTTTGCACCGTGCCGTGGCTTCAGAACTATGGCTTCCCCTTTATCTGCGCGCTCTATCAATGCCATTTGCATGGCCTTCTCCTGCTCTGCATTGCCTGCAGCTGCATGGGCCAGCACGGGCAGGTGCAGGGGACTCCCCACAAGCTCTGCCACCATGCTGACCTGCTCCAGCTTGTCATCTAACCAGATCAATTCAGAGCGTCGGTGCCGCCATGAGCTGGAAATCCGTTTGTACATGACCGCATCCCAGGTGTCATCACGACAGTCTGGCTGCGAAACCTGAATGCAAAGATCCACAAGTTCTGCCGGCAGTTCACACGCTTCGATGAGATCGTATCCTTCTGCTGCAGTACAGGCTCGAAGGAGGTCATGTTCGATATGCTGAACGGCCTCGTGGTACGGAAGGTGCAGGATACTGCCCGGGGGAAGGGAAGCCAATTGAGAGTGCAACACCTGGTCTCTGCCCGGGGACACACCCCGGACAATTATGGAAAACCCATCTTCCATAGCAGCATCCGTGCTCAGATGCGTGGCATCTGTTCTGCGTGTACATGCAATAGAATCTACAAACCTGCTGGGGTGAACTCGTATGGATGTCGTGAGTTCGGAACTTCGAGCACGAGAGCTAAGCTCCGGTCGCCAAGAACATGCCACTGGAAGTGGTGTCCTTCTTCGTCTTTTCTATGAGGTGACTCTTAGCTACAATTGGGGGGCCTGGTGTCGACATCTTGCCTTAAGGTGATCCACGCACTGTCTTACTTTTCAGGCTGGACAGGCTTGCTGCCGCCTTTCGATCCTGTCCTGTACCATTCGACCCTACTGCTGGCAGGCGAGCAGCGTAAACCATGACGCCCAGCGCCCACCAGTCCACAAACAAATCGTGATCGTGCGGGTAATCGATCATTTCAGGCGCCAGGTATTCCGGCGTGCCAGCTAAAGTGTTGGTCTTGTTGAGCACCTGGCGGCCAAACGTGAAATCGGGCTGCTGGCAGAGGATAGATTTCGTGACTGCGTTCATCTGACAGTCCGGCTGCCACTCCCTTCGCTCCATCCGAACTCCCACTAGCCACAAACGACAAACGACAAAGAAAGCATGAAGCCACAGCACGAATCTCGCAAAGCCCATGTCACAGAGCTTCGCATAGCCGTGCCTTGGAAGCAAGAAACGGGTGCAAAGTCAGATTCCGGTTGTCATGACCAGACGGGCGAGCATGCAGCATAAGACTCGACAAAGGCTTCACTCCATGCATCTGCAAAACCCTGCTACGAGTACTGCTGACAACAAGTGGCCCGCTTGGCCACTGGACATTCTGCCAAGACACTCGTCCAGCATAGCATTCTCGGGCTTGATGTCGCCTTTTGGAGCACGACGGCATCGAATGAGTCATGATTCATGATGGTTTCCGCATGAGAGGTCACTGCTTGGTGCGCTACACAGCCGAGGGACGATGGACGATGGATCGCTCGTGGAGGTATTCTAAAGCCTGGAGCTGACGTTTTCACATGCAGTGTCGTGGTCTCTACACCCCCCTCCAAAGATTTCAGGCCAAAACTATCGTCAAGATGTTTGTCCGTCTTTATGGAACTCCCGATTACGAAGCAGCAATGGCAAAGTGGGAAGTGCAGGAGCTTGCAACAACAGTAGTGTAGACATGTTTGGAACGTTTGTGCGCGGATCTTGCCAACAGCACCGGGAACTTCATTCCACTGGAGACTAATGAATCTTTCAACGGGTTCCACACCTTAGCAAGGGGACGAGATGCCAGTTAGTCACACTTAGCCGACTTAGCCCTTGGAAACCATGCGGGGCGCATCTGCATTTCTCAATCTTTGATCTACTGGTCTACAAAGAGATCCCGTTTCTACCAACTCGCGTTTGACGGGCTCTTTATCTCAAGGCAGGCCTCCTCGTGGGAATCTTTCAATCAAAAAGCTCCATCAACTATGACTACGCATACGATACCCGTGCGTGCTGGCTACTCAATATAGAGTCATTCTCCTTGAAGCCGCGGAGCCGCGGTGACGCAGGCGGCATAGAAACATGTCGCATAGCCTCGCGGCGAGTCCTCAAGAAACACCTGCGGTTGAGGTCGAGTCTACTCCGAGCTCCGCAAGCTTTGCACTCTGTTCGCCGTCTAGTTGCCTGCGGCCGCGTATGAAGCAACTCCATGAGATTTCCACCCAGTGCGACTTCCAGCAACATGTAAATGTGCTGGAAATCATACATCCTTTGTGGAGCGCTCTGAACACACAAGCTGTCACGACAAAGCATGCAACCTGGCGCAAAGCATGGTCATACTGGCTTCAGGTCATGCTCGCAGCGCAATATGGCACTCTTGAATTGTCACGGCTGCTTGCCAACGAGTGTCGTCCGATGGAGACGAATAACGAATTTGCCTTATTTTGCTCGTGCAAGCGATGCTGAAAACTGCAAGGCACTCAACACCATTAAACATCTGAGATATGTGAGAACACACACGCACACACGTTGACTGTCTCCACCCAGAAGTTCCGCAACCCAAGGAAACATTAAGCTGCCGGGGATCTATCTAACATGGACAGCAGCTCCCTCTCCCAGCGCACTTGGCGCACGATCCCGCTGCGCTGTATGTGTCCTTTTGACATCACCTGGCTCCAGTAGCTTACACAAGGACCCGTCACAAGGAAGAACAGCCCAGTGGGAGTGTCGCAGGGTTCGCTACCCAGGGCCAAAGACCCTCCTCTCATTGGAACGTCTTCTTGGGTTCCACTCTGCGTCTGCCTGATTCTCTTAGCTCGGCACCTTCAGCGCATAATGCTTTTTTCGAATGGCGTCCTGCTTTTGAGACGTCGCAGAACATGCTTGAATCGAAACGCCGCTTCTGGCGACAACACTGCTTACTAGTTGTCTTGGCTACATCTGCTTCAGGAAACACACAGGCACATGCAGACATGGACGTCCTCAACTAGGTACACCTCGCCATAGGCCCCTCGCCCCAGCACTTGCAACCTCGGCTAGGCCGGCTTGCTCGATTTGCACAACTGCTTCGGCAAGCCTGTCTTCTTTCAAGCAACTTGGCATAGCCTTCCAGATTCCTGACAGCACCTGCAGCAAATGCAGCCGATGCCACTAGATTTGAAGCTAGATCCAGCCACAAAGCCTGTTCTCCTAAGTCTCATGTCTGCCCCACCAGCCTACAGATGTCTGTCCGACGGCAAAGTCCATCGAGTGGGAGACCACGCTGCTGGCGGCAGGGAGTGAGGAGGCAAAGCTGCCATCTTCAGCTAAAACCATGCCGTCCCTGGCACGGTAAAAGGATCTGGCCTTTCTGCTGCGTGCTGGGCTTTAAGCTTGCACCATTCCTCGACGTCAGCATGGATGTCCTCGTGGCAGGTGGGTCCGATGGATGCAAAAGGACAAAGTCAAGAGATTCAAAGACGAAGCCTCGCGAGTTATTTGCCGAGATGCTGGAATGAATCCAGGAGAATCATTGTATATTCCTGGCTGCGACGGGCGATTGACCGCGTCGTTCAATCAGCCCGTGCCGCTCTGAAAGCAATTGCAACATTTGGAACAATACATCCCTGTGCCTGTCTATTCTTCAACACTGGCCGGAGGCACTGGTTAGAAGGACACGAATAGTCTCGCCATTAAACGTGAGACAGGTCATGCCATTCGCACCAGCTGTCACATTCACGTCGTAGGCCGCATCCCCTGGTAGCAATGTGCGCAGTCTTCTGGAGCTTCGATCGTTATCGTACTGACATGCAGTGGGGTGCAAGATGCATGCTGAGGGCTAATGAGCCCTGCTGGGATTCACAAAGGTCCTGTACCCGTGGCCAGGCTTCATGTTGGTGTTTGGATTGCTCGACATCCCGCCTTATGAATCTTTGGGGTCCTGGGGGCCTCCCTGCTGCCCGCCTCTGAGGAGCGATCGCTCGCCGAAGCAGCCGGGACGCCCCACCTGCGCGCATCGAGATTGGTCTGTTCTTCGAGTTCAGAGGGAAGCTCCGCTTCCGGCACCTCCGACAGCTGCACCGAAGTTCCATCAGGACGATCCCATGTCCTTATGCTCTCGCAACTCGGACATGCCTGACGAGGTCTCTGGTGCGCGTGTACTTTGACGGTCGGATCTACCAGTTCCGGGTCTGGCATGGTCTGGTGATGTCTGGTGGATTGAGGTCCCAGATCAAAGCTGACCGCCGGGTCATGGCTTTGCAGACAGGGGTCATGACAGCACTGCCAGCATAAATGACATACCTTGGCATCTGCAGCATTCCAGTCAGCAGCGAATGCCGCGATTGTGAAGCAAGCGCTGTGCAGAAGAGTAGCCATTGCCTCGCCTGTCTCACTTTACCCTGAGCGATGACGCGCTCACCGGCAGGGAAGTGCACAAAGCCTCGGTTGGCCGCTCCAAATGGACATGGCTCCGCCCTCCTCGCAGACCCTTAGTCCCGGGCCTGAAGCATTACAAGCAAGTTCGTAGCGTTCGGAGCTGACCAAGGGCTCAAGTGCGTGGACCTGTCATGCTGCTGTCACCCGAGCCAGACTGATGGAGCAGGCAATCAAGACTGAGTTGAGTTCGTCGGATAATTAGACCCCACCTCCTCGAGTAACGCGCCGTACTCATCGAAACGCGGCCTGAGCTCGGTGCCGCTTTTCCAGCTCCATGGATTCGTTTACGGTGCAGTATGGTGCAGCCGATTGATCCGCCAATGTGAGCAATCCCGTCTCCACGTCTCTCATTGTTTCTAGCTTCTACTTGTAGTAGTTGAGAATTGGCGCATTACGAGCGTGCACAGCTCATCGCTCCTATGGTTCGTTGGCCGTCGTATCTGGCTTCGCCGAAAGGAGCTGAGGCAGCGGCCCCTTTCGGCTGAAGGCGGATTCCCAGCCACGTCCTCAGCCATGACATGCCATGACGGACGAACTAGCCGTGGACTCACAGCATGGTGAGACTCGAAGATCACCTTCTCTTATGGTGTATCATGCCTAATCAGTGGAAGTGCAGCCGAGACATCTCACGGCATTGATGATCCAGAACTTGTCCGACACCCCCACAGAGTTCGGCCCTCAAGGTTTAGAGTCGAAGCAAAGTCTCGTGGCACCGCATAGATGATGGACGTCTCCCGCGCACGAAAGGTCGCCTCTCCTCATGCAAGAAGGGAAGAGCGGATGCAAGTGTGATGTTCCCAATGCCGCAATGCCACGTCGCATGTTGTAAAGGAGGGAAAGCTCTCCTGAGCACCCAAAGTCTGCTGCAAACAAGTCGACTTCCGACCACCGGCTTCAATACATATTTGCTCCCCCTGAGTCTCGGGCCAAAGCTATCTCCTTCTCCCAGGACTTCGAATTTGCTCATTGGACTAGTACTAGCTGTGCTGTCCTGCCGGCAAGCTAAATCGCACACAGGAGGGGTTTTGAACTCAGGCGAGAAGCGAACCCGCCATGTTCTAGATATGGCGAAACCGCGAAGCTCTGCCTCAATGCCACTTTCTGTCGCCGGCTCCATCTCACTGTTCCCTCCCTCGCTCTATCTGTCTGAATCTATCTTTCGTTTCTTGCCTTGGGCTCAGGGCTCGGGGTGTGCCGAGTCGGCACTTTCAATGGTCAAAACATGTATCGCTTTGCTTGTGCAGGCTTGGTGGCCCAAGTTACGCCATGCCGCGATGCCGCTCGGCAAGTGCCCCAACATGTCACGGAGCCAAGCATAAGCTTAACTTAAGACCTCTTCTTGACTTGTGATGATGCACTGGCACATCCTGGTCACTGACGCCCAGCTGTCCTCATCAAGTCCGTCGCTCTTAGGCGAATCGGGCACCACGAGGTCTGGCACTTCCTCCACGTGGTGCATGCAAGCTTGGCTTCAATCTCAATGGGCTTTGGCTGAACTTTTGCGAGCAATAGTTTACCACACCCGATGTACCGCTCTACTGGCATTTGTAGGGCGGGGCTGGCTTTTTGAACACCAACTCGGCAGGGAGGATTTCAGCTCCGTGACCGGCAAGCCGTCCCATGCCGTCCCATGCTGCAATGAACGATGTGACATGAACATGGGAAGTCCACAGAACCTTGATGCCCTTGAAGCTGGTCAAGGACTGCGCAACGAAGTGCTTGGCCCCGTCTGTGTGGCCGCCTTGGGGTGAGAACTTGCCCGAGGAGAAGCTCTGGGGAGTACTCGTATCAAGGAACTCGCAGAGACTTCAAGCCCGGGCCGGGCGGGACTGGGACGGCCCACCACCCACTCCCTGCATCCTGGCGACGCACGCGTTTGTCCTTGGAGCGCTTCGGTGAGCCGAGCTTCGGCCGCAAGGCCTGCTGCGAGCAGTGACTTGAAAGCAGGCGCATCTTGGAGGGTAGAGGACGCGAGGACAACTCGCCCGCAAATGAAACTGCTATCGAGCGACAAAGGGTCGAGCTAACATAAACCCAACGCAAGTCAGCAGCTTGACGGCAACCCCAAAGGTACCGCCGAGCAGTCCTCACAAGGCCCAGAAACTCCTCGGAGGAACATGTCCGCAGATGCAGGCACGTCCTCCTGGTCAGGCCAAGTGGTTTCCGGCACTGATGGGAAAGGTGTCTCATTCACATGTCCATGTTCACGCAAGCTGCAACCCCCTGACAGATCAGAACGAAGACCAGCCAACAAGTCCCGGCACGAGCATGCAGAACCGCCTCCACACCGCTCTTGGGGGAGAGCCTGGGCCACTAAGGAGATTTGTGAAAGAGGAACTGGAATCAGAGACATGCGTTCACGCACATTCCCACCAGATGCACACTCTTCCACCAGTTCTTGCTTTGCTCCACTACAGCAAGGCGGAGAGCGCACCAGAGGCAGACAATTCCAGCACAACGCTTCCCAGGCACGTGAGAATCTATGTGCATGTCTACACAGTCGAGCCACAGGGTCGAAATGGTCCGACCCCAGGTCCGGCAAAGGCTAGGCTGAGTCAATGTCCTCAGCAGAAACCGGGCCGTGGTCGCGGCAACTCTTTTTGAACCCAAGCTCTATGCCATCATCAGCAGGGAATCAGCGGCTAACTCATTTTAGCATGCCACGAACTGAAAAAGGCGCCATCAGTAGCTTGGGCTACGATTTGACTGGCGACTGGAAGTATGCGAACTTCTGATGCAGACATGCAGCTGGAGAAAGTGCCTCGGAAGGCACGTGGAGCAGTTCCGGTCGAATGGTCATCCCCTTCCATACCACCGGTTAAAACAAGCCACTGTTTCCTCAGCAACCTTTCCGACATAGTTGTCAAAGCCACACGCTCCTGTTCGCTGCGGCAAAGCTTAGCCCCCTTCCCCAGCAAGTCTTGGACTTTGCAAAAAGGGCCAGACCCCAGAGCCCCCCATCCTCGGCGGAGGCTCGTTCTGCATCTGAGGGGGAACCTTGGCTGCCGCAAGGCCCATGGTACCCCTTTTGAGATCTACGGCACGTGCTGCTGCAAAATTCAGTAAAGCCGTGCCAAGCCTATCTGCTTCAGGCATGCCACGGGGGCCTAAACCGAATCGTTGCTGGGGTCGCAGACTGTATAGGTTAACCTATTGCAGCCTTGGCGGCTTAGGACGATGTCGAAGGAGCCCTCTCGGATTATAAAGAACTCGTCACCAACCTCACAGGTACGCGGAGCATTGTGCCGATATTGGATGCCCCACAAGATCATGGAACGTCGTGAAACCACTGTCACCGGAAATCAGAACCAAGTCCAGGAGAAACAGGCAGGCCTCGCCACGCTTCGCGACCTCAACGCCTTTCTCCACCACCCGCCGCTCTGCAGATGCTGCAATTTTTCTCAGCTGCTCCTGAAGGTGTTCAGGCTCGTAATTGCCATCGCCGCCATGATGCTGCCAACAACTGTGAGACCATCGCAGTGACATCCACCTCCCACTGACCCCTTACCGACGGGACCTGATCCGTTTGAATGAGAGCACGCAGATTCGCATTGTTTCTGACCTGAGTCCAGGGCATGAACAAGACCTGTACACCATGCTGCGGAGCTGACTTTGTGTTGCATTTTCCATTCTCCTCAGTGTGCTGTCTTTCCATCATTTCACTAGTCTCACTTCGTCTTTGCAGCCAATCAAAGCATGGAATCCCTCTAGGCGCAACCTCGAATCGTGGCCCCCGGTGGAAACTGAAACAGGTTCGGGAAGGAACAGTCTCTGTTCTTCGTTTCACATGCCTCCAAGGATACCCTTCCGTGCGCGTCCGCACCGTTCCATGCAGGCTGGATTGGTGAGACTCTCGTCGTTTTTTGTCTCTCTTTTTTGCTCCAGCGCCCAAAGAGTAGGCGTGGGCTGGCAACACGGCAATATACCGTGCAACTGTCGGGTCGCAAGTGACGCCCTGAGTTGAAGCAGAAGGATGATTTAAAGACTATTCCGGGTGTTGGAGCATTTTGTTCTCGCCTCCCTCCCTCCGCCTCTTCGGCACGGAAGTTTAAAGGCATGCTGGAAGTGTAAAGGCATGCCACAACGAACAGACCTACTTACTTCTGAACAAAGAAGTCAGAAGAAGTGTCTACTGCTCTGTGGCCGTACAACACACCGTACACCTGATCCCAGAGGGGACCCGAACAGAAAATTCGTGCCGCCCGGCGGATGGGCTGCCCTACACATAATGCAGCTTCAGCCAAGGGACGGCACATGCAATAAACATCGTTTCCTCCTCCGTCTTCTTCTGGGACTTGTACTCCTCGGATGAAGGTCCGTTTTGCTACTGCAGCTGACCAGCTCTGGCAGCAAAGCTCGTACCGCATCTCGCTACATCCTGCATGCCAGAGCTCCCCCGGAGTTGTCGCTGTGGGATGCTCGTTGTAGATTGCGGCTCGTTTTGGAAACTTCAAATACTTGGCGATGCCTGCAAAGCTGGGCCGGGCCAGGGAAACTCTGGGAAGAGACGCTTGGACCGCTTGCTCCTGCCTGTGTCATAGAAGGTCCTT